AAAACACTGCCTTATGTTTGACCCAGGTCCCACTTAGTCAGCTCTCCTTAGACTGCTTCCCTTCCTCCGCCCCAGCCCCCCTCTTTTTTCTTCCTCTTTTCTCCTTTCTTCTATTTATTTTTTGATTAAAAAAAATAGTGGCCTCCACCATGAGTCCTTAACGAATGCTCCTCTACCATGACCTACATGTGCACTAGTGGATCCACATCCGCTTTTGCTTACTGTTCCTCATCCATAAAGACATGGATGAGTGAGTTTGGGGTAGAGGAACTTGACTGGACTGCACAAAGTCCTGACCTCAACCTCATAGAACACCTTTGGGATGAATTAGAGCGGAGACTGTGAGCCAGGCCTTCTCATCCAACATCAGTGCCTGACCTCACAAATGCACTTCTGGAACAATGGTCAAACATTCCCATAGACACACTCCTAAACCTTGTGGACAGCCTTCCCAGAAGAGATGAAGCTGTTATAGCTGCAAAGGGTGGGCCAACTCAATACTAAACCCTACAGACTAAGACTGGGATGCCATTAAATTGAATGTGCATGTAAAAGCAGGCATCCCAATATAGTGTATATTGAATTAGAAAAACACTGCCTTAAATAGTGAGGGCTGGAACATAAGAAACCTCCATTATTGGCTCTTCTTAGCCAAATGACCATAGCTCAATTGGTTTTGCCACAATCCATGCTCGACCCAAACCAGAAGTCCATCCCTAATGTAAGGTTGGCTGATCTATCCCAGGGGCGGACTGACCATTTGGAAACTCGGGCACTGCCCGAGGGCCTGGGGTCAGTAGGGGGCCCCATGAGATGCCCCTGGTACCTTTTTCATAGGCTTTTTTGAGTTTGGGCAAGGACACAGGGGCCCCATGATCCCCTATTGCCCAGGGGCCCCATGAGTTGTCAGTCCGCCCCTGATCAATCCATTTATTTTCGTGACTTAAAAATGGTTGAAAGCGGTTGTAATTGCTTGGGAATGGACACATGAATGGCCAGTATTAACCCGTTAATTCAACCTCTTGTTTGTAGAAAAAAATGCTTCCCTAAGGACATTGTATCATCAAAAGGCTCCTCTATGGCAAAACTGAGTGAGTAGCATGCTTCTCCATAGCAGGCTTTTTAGCAGCAGCAATAATTGAAATATTTAGTTAGAATGATCTATATAACTCTATCCTGTCCTATGAAAGCACTATTCCATCAGCAGAGCATTTTAACCTAGTCAGGAGACTGGTATAAAAACCCTGACTGGTAATGTAGCACCTAGGGCCGTTGCCAGAACATCTTTTGTGTCTCTGATGGTATTTTGCTTATTAGTAGTTACCAAGTGATAATTAAATTAATTTCTGTACTGGTTGGACTTGGTTTTTCACTGTTTTTTTAAATCAGTAAAAAGATGAGACTCTTTACAAAGTATTTATCCTGATGCAGCCAGAGTATATGGGTATCCATCGTCATTGTTTGTGCATACATCTAAACAGACTTGCTATTGACAATGAATGATAAACAATTCAGAAGCTGAATAGTTGACTCTTGACTAATAAGGATAAAATATGGTATCCCCATGACAAATAGACTACACAAAATATTTACTTGATTTGCCTTTTGCAATGACTTGTTATATTACATGACTAGGTACTGAATCCACTAAATAGAGTAAAGTAAGTAAGAAATAAAGCTGCAAAAAATTAAAAACATTAAATATCGACAAATATTTTGTAATCGTAAACAAAGGTTGTAGACTAGTCATGAAAATACCTCCAGGTTGAAATGTACAAATGCAATTTACTGACAGACAAGTTTATTTAGGTCCATTACATGCCACATCTTAGTAAAGTGAATATAGTATAAATGTACTATATTGATTCCCTGCAAAGCACAAATAACCTGACTTACAGAATTTTACTTAACAATTACTTCTTGCAACTCACAAAGGAAAATAATGTCTCTTGGCTACAGAAAATGTCAGAAACAAATCGATGTTCTGACTTAAATCAGAGAGTCTAAAAAATGTTTTTTCAGAAATATTTTAACAGAAGATTCTCTAAAAACTAGCTTGTAGTGGTCTTTTATTGCAGACCCATCTTATTGCACATTATTATATGTATGTATCAATTTTTTATAATACTGTACTGTACTATATTGATTTCATTTTGACAGAGATGTAGAGTTGTCAACCTGCTGTGCATGGTCCTTTATCTGGACATTGGGCTGCCTATTAGATCTACAGGAGAAAAAGCAGACCTAACCCAGTGTCCCACTGAAAGGGCAAGCACAGCAGGAAGGCAATTCTGATTCTAATTGCAAGGCAGTGTCCTACCACTGTCAGGTGCTGTTACTGTAAGGATAACTAGGTACACAACTTGGCAACAGATTCACAAAAAAAGAAGAATGATGCCAAACATACCGAGAAATAAATGTAGGTTTACTTACATCTTAACCATCATATTGAGAATGGTGTTCCCATTGAACTTGCGATCCTTCCAGGATTGAGAAGAGTGTGGTAATGACATTGATTTTTTTTTTAAAGACTGCAACCATGGGTGACATATGACCATTAATGGTTTTGTTAGATTTTTGAAAAAATTTAATATATTTGAGAATCCTGCGCACCAGAAAAACAAGAGAGGTTGGGACCTGTGGGCTGCTGCTAGCAATTAACACAAATTTGTGTGTTAGAGACGATTGGAATGCTGCGCTGTCACTCCTACAACTGTGAGACAATGGTTAGAGAAGCAATATACTGTATGTGATTTAACAAAAATCTGTGGTTGTGTAAGTATGTAGTGCTACAATGCACCTCCCTCTTCAGTGTATAAATGTGTGAACTATACAAGAATGCTGATGGTGCATACCGTGTTGCAATGCACCTGTCTTATTAATGGGTGAAATCCTACCAATCACCATATTGCATCATACTACAATACACCTCCCTTAGATGAAATACTTGTGCAACACTCTATAGTAAAAAATAGCAGATGAAATGCTTGTGATATAAATCATAAACCATAGGTGAGAACCCCTATGTGGCAAGCTGTGAATAATTCAGGGACTACAACACACCTTCCTCTAAAAAATGACACACTAAGTTAATAGTGCTGAATATAGATCTATGAATTATGAGTTCTTAGAAAAAAAGGAACTGGAGAAAATATACCATAAACCATGAAGTGAGAACACCTATATATCAAACTATAAATATATCAGAGACTACAAAACACCTTCCCAAAAAGTAAGGCACTATATTAGTTGTGCTGGAAATAATCCTTTTAAAAGAAAGTGTCCTTGAGAAATCAATATATAAATACAATAAATGTGCCGTTTCATGGTATGAATTCCTGGTACTACAAAGCACCTTCCACAATTTTGATGAAATAGTGCCTTGGTGATAATTGTTTGATCTTGACAAAAAAATTGGTGATAAGTGCTGTCACTCATGCTCCCACTCCAGAACTCACTCACTGCAAGGTGTTTGACCCCCTACGTTTTAGGTAGGTCAAAAGTGCTTTTGGGTGCTTTGCTTCCTCAAGTCCCTGCAATGGACCAGCCTCCTATGATCTCCTTTTATTTAAGTAAAATCCCATAAAAATTGCACTTACATCAAAATCATGTATGTAGTGTGCTTTAAAAACAATATCCTAGGACACTGTTTCACTCTGCATTCACCCACGTGTGAACTGGAAGTGACACAATTAGCCCCGGCCCAAACGCGTTTCATACTGGCATCAGACTAGGTCACCGTTATTCCATTGCTAAACGAGCGAGATACAGTTCAGATCCTCATGTGCCCATTATAGGTGCTTTTAGCTGTTGAGTCAGGTCACTATGGGCACTCTGACTGTTCTGTGACTATGCAGCTCCATACACAACAAACTATGATGCCCACTTTGTGTTTTTTAAGTATGTTACAATAACCATGTTCTTGAGGACAACATCCATTTTTCATTCATCATGGTCACCAATCATTGCAGTGCCTTGTGTGGCCCCTACAATGAAAGAGCCAGCTGATTGTGTTTGTATTCCAGGCCAAAAATTCCCATTTCTCCCCCGGTCCTCCCTTGTAGAACTTTACTGAAAAAGTATATTCTCACTCTATATTGTGACATCTGAGTGATGTATTCATGCATACTTGTAAAATTACTGGAAGGTCCACTTTAAACAATTGTGGCAGAGTAATATGACAAGGCAGAAATTGTGATCTAAATCTCTGCTTTCTCCAGAAAATGTAGTAACAAAAACGTATAAATCTTTCTATTCTTTCTGTCCTGCTGATATACTATTGAAAATTAGTTACTGTAGATTAATATTCAAACGGCAGCAAGTGCCTTGATTTGTTTAGTTGAAAGCAATATTCATTCAGTGACAATGAGGGAGGATTATTATTTAAAAATGAAATTGTAACAGACGTTCTAGTAACCATGCTGGGAATTTTAGTGCTCTGTAGTACGAATGTATTGCAAGCAAAGCAGTTGTCAGCAAGAAAGTAGGTTAAACACATTCAGCATGTAGTATTGTGTTGTTTATAAAGCACTTTTGTATGTGTTATACAATATGGTTTTAGGTACAATAATCATCAAGTGGGAGACAGAAAAAATGTAAAACCTGATAAATGGTTTTTAATTAGAGATGAGCGAATTATTCAAAAATTTGATTCGGCTGATTCGCCGAATTTGCGGAATAAATTCGATTCGATGCGAATTTATTCGCTGCGAAATTTAACTTATTAAAAGGGATGTTTCTAGGCTTCAGAGAGCCTTTATATTAGTGCAGAACACTGTACCTTTAATTTAAATGCCCTTGGAGTCTGCTGGGGAAGAGAATAATGCTGTCAGTCAGTATGACATGCAGATGAGGTGTCCGTCGATCTTAGAATCACCGCACACTTCACTCATTTTGGGCAATCCGGCAGTCACGGGGCCCAAAACCAGAGTGTGGAGCCCCCAGTGTGGCTGGTGGAAGAGAGGAGAGCAGCAATGGGAGGCCATACAGCACCCTATGACAAAAATGGAACCCACCAGCAGTAGTGAGGAGACCTGAAAGTGGCACATGGCAGAGTGTGGCGATGGAGACAGCAGCAATGGGAGGCCGTACAGGGACCCATGACACACTCTGGACCTGGAGGGCAGCATGAGGAGGCAGTACAGGGGCCCATGACAGATTACGGGCCTGGCAGCAGCAAGAGGAGGCGGTACAGGGGCCCATGGCAGAGTGGCGAAGCGTAAAGCAGCTTAAATTGAAGGCCATACAGAGGAGCCTATGTTAAAAAAGTCCCCCCAGCAGCAGTGTGGGGAAGGACGACTATCAAGAGTCCAATGGCAGAGTGGCAGAGCAGAAGCAGCTTCAATTGAAGAAGAAGAGGAGGAGGATGAAGAAGAAGAAGAGGGAGGAGGATGAAGAAGGATGAAGAAGAAGAAGAATATGAGGATGAAGAAGAAGAAGAAAGAAGAGATGATGAGGAAGAGGATGAAGAAGAAGAAGAAGAGGATGAGGATGAAGAAGAAGAAGGAAGAGGATGAGGAAGAGGATGAAGAAGAAGAAGAAGAGGATTGAGGAAGAAGAAGAAGAAGAAGAGGAGTATGAGGATGAAGAAGAAGAAGAAGAAGAGGATGATTAAGAAGAAGAAGAAGAAGAAGAGGATGAAGAAGAAGAAGAAGAAGAAGAAGAGGAAGAAGAAGAAAGGATGAAGAAGAAGAAGAAGAAGAAGAGGATGAAGAAGAAGAGGATGAAGAAGAAGAAGAAGAAGAAGAGGATGAGAAGATGAGGATTAAGAAGAAGAAGAGGATGAGGATGAAGAAGAAGAAGAAAAAGAAGAAGAAGAAGAAGAAGAGGATGAGGAAGAAGAGGATGAGCTAGGAAGAAAAAGAAGAAGAAGAAGAGATGAGGAAGAAGAGGAGGAGGATGAAGAAGAAGAAGAAGAAGAAGAAAAGGATGAGGTTGAAGAAGAAGAAGATGAGGATAAAGAAGAAGAAGAAGAAGAAGAAGAAGAGGAGAAAGAAGAAGAAGAAGAAGAAGAAGATGAGGATGAAGAAGAAGAAGAAGAGGAAGTGAGGAATGAAGAAAGAAGGAAGAAGAAGAGGATGAGGATGTATGAAGAAGAAAGAAGAGGATGAAGAAGATGAGAAGAAGAAGAAGAAGAAGAAGGATGAGGATGAGGAAGAAGAAGAAGAAGAAGAGGATAGGGATGAAGGAAGAAGAAGAAGAAGAAGAAGAGGATTAGGATGAAGAAGAAGAAGAGGATGAGGATGATGAAGAAGAGAAGAGGATGAGGATGAGGATGAAGAAGAAGAAGAGGATGAGGATGAAGAAGAAGAAGAAGAAGAAGAAGAGGATGCGGATGAAGAAGAAGAAGAAGAAGAGGATGCGGATGAAGAAGAAGAAGAAGAAAGAGGATGAGGAAGAAGAAGAAGAAGAGGATGAGGAAGAAGAAGAAGAAGAGGATGAGGAAGAAGAAGAAGAAGAAGAAGAAGAAGAAGAGGATGAGGATGAAGAAGAAGAAGAGGATGAGGATGAAGAAGAAGAGGATGAGGATGAAGAAGAAGAAGAAGAAGAGGATGAGATGAGAATGAATGAAGAAGAAGAAGAAGAAGAAGAAGAGTAGGATGAAAATAAGAAGAATTCCATTCCAGCAAAAAGTGTATCTGCAGAGAGCTCCGCTATTTCTGACAGTTCTCTGACAGTTCCTTCACATTTACAGTGGTTGAAACATTGTATCTATTTGTTTCCGAATAAAAACATCTGTATCCTAAATGGAAACAAATAGATACAATGTTTCAACCGCTGTAAATGTGAAGGAACTGTCAGAGAACTGTCAGAAATAGCGGAGCTCTCTGCAGGGACACTTTTTGCCGGCTGTAGAAGGGATGAAAATCGGCCGATCGGGGAAAATTTGATTCGTGCATCCAAAGTTTGCTCATTTTCGGATTCGGCGCGAATCAAATTTTTCCTAATATTCGAAACGAATTCCACTTCGCCAAGTTCGATTCGCTCATCTCTAGTTTTAATGTTCAAAAAAAGGTTGCTAGACTTTTGAAACTGGCCCATACAAGTGAGAGATTAATATTGCAATATTGGCATCATGCTCCCTTGAATGTATACATTGTGCACACCTGAACACTCATGACCACATTGGCCACATGACCAGTGAAATAGGTCTCTAGCTTTTAACCTTACAAGCTTTGAATATGTGCCCTATGTGTTTGTGTGTTCTGTTTTCGTGTGCAATGTCTCTAGCATTGAGCTGTCATCAACTATTACAGCAGGGCTCAAAATTTTACGTTCTGAGCTACTAGCCAGGCCATAAAAATTACTCACCACCAGTTTTCCCACTCAACCCCTACCCTGACCCGACCCTAATTCCACCCCTAAATATGCCCTCATAAATTATCTCACAAAATTACACTGTTAAATGTTTTATGCAGAATAAAGTTACAAAAATAAATATTAAATAAACACCCATCAGTTGCCCTCCTTTACATCAGGTATCCCATCAGAGTCCCCCTTTATAGTAGTATATCCATCAGAGTCCCCCTTTACAGCAGATGTCCCATCAGAGGCCCCCCTTTATAGAGTGGAAAGAAGGAAAGGGAGGGAAGGAAGGAAAGGGAAGGAAGGAAAGGGAAGAGAAGGAAGGAAGGAAGGAAGGAAGGAAGATCAAACTCACATGAATGGCACCCAGCTCACTGGCTCAGTCAGAAGCATTACAGAGCTGCTGGCCTCTCTGTATACAATTTCCCACCCACACATCCCCTTAGAATTTGCACACACTGGAGTGTGGGGGAGGCAGAGTAGATCCAGCCTCTCTCTCTTATTGGTGTGGAAGATGGGGGGAGGGGCTGGGCACAGAGGAGCATACAGGGGGGCCGGAAAGAGAAATCCGATTGACAGTCAGGGGTGATCGGTGCAGCGGTGGGGACAGTTACAAGCACCAATCTTCCTGTATGGCTTTCAATAAAGCAGCTGAAAGCAACATCTCCTCCTCCCCCCTCCTGCGGCTTTCAGCTGCTTAACCCCTTGGCACTGGCACCTCCCGGGCCCTTTAAGGGTTTCAGAAGCCGGGAGGTGAGGCGGGGTTTTAGGGTCATGTGACTGCCGTGATTCGCTGTCACGGCAGTCACATGATAGGGAAAGGTCCCGATCGCAAGAGGAGATCGGGACCTTTCCATGAGTACCATACATGTGTGCTGGGAGCGCGCAGGGCGCGCTCTCTCAGTACATATGTTTTTTTTTAATTGCACACAAATGTGCGACCACTCGGCATGAAAGCCCAGACATCGGGAGGCTGCACATTTGTATGCGGCCTGCGCCGAGAGGTTATTTGAAAGCCATACAGGGAGATTGGTGCTTGTAACTCTCCCCACCGCTGCACCAATCATCCCCGACTGTCAGTTTCACCTGCTGCTGTCTGGACAAACTCACCCCCACCATATTTCCACTTGCCAATGCGAGCAGGCAAGTGGAAATTTTGAGCTCTGTATTACAGTGTGATCACCCACATCTGTCAATGTGCCACGATATAGGTGCCAGAGACTACTGTTTTTAGTGTATGTCTGGGTATATTTATTTATGTCAGTCAGTGTCAATCTTTATAAAATAACAAATGAAATGTAAAGAGAGACTATAGGATATACATAAAACACTTAGAGTGACCCTGTTACTACTGGGTCCATCCTGAAATAAAGCCTGTATTGATGTTATATTCTTACTTTTCTGGCAGCTCATGCCTTCAAACTCCCCCATGTTTCTGATATTTGCATTTCTAGATGTGTGAATACCTACTTTTCCCACCACACACTGTGGTTCCTCCTCTTCCTCAGACATCACTTAGGATCTTGGGAGCAGATCTGGGTCCTGAAGAAGCTTTAGCACTATAGGATGATTTGGGCATCCTATAGTGCTCCCTGTAAGACTCCATCTAGTCTGACCTTGTAAGCCTCACCAAGGTCTATACCATTCTTGTGAAGGATTTGATGCAGGATCTTCTCTAATCAATCTATGAATCAGAAAGCTTCTCCTCCCTGTGCTGGAGAGTGTGTTAGAACTTGCATAACAGATCTGGGAGTTTACTCATCCAAACACACCATAGGATGCTTCCATATAGTCCAGTGTGACACAGTCCTGCTTTCCTAACTATAAGTTACAGATCACTTCAGCAGCAGGGTCCCTGAGACTCTCACTGATTATCTGTTTCTTTAAAGCTTCATAGATATCACACTTCTCTAGTGCTGGTCCCAGGGCCGCTGGTAAGGGGGTACCACCGGGCCTCCTGTAGGGGGCCTGGACCCCATCACTTAACAGAAGGGCAGCTTCAAGCATCATATAGTACATCACATGTTTGTGCATAGTGTGAGCATAATTTTGTTCACTGTGGCTCCCAGATGGTAAACCATATTCCCTGGGCTGGGGGGGCATCAGTTCACCCAGAGAGCCCTGGAGACTGTAGATAGAGAGACTTTTCTTTTTTGATGTATATGCGGATTTACACAACAACCTGTACTGCATTTGCTGATAGTGAGATTAAAGTCTCCGCTCTCTCAGTCCCTGTGCTGCTGGAGGAGCGATTCGTCATGCACACTGCCTGCCTCCTTCAGCAAGTAAGTGCTGAGGGAATCAGTGGCCGAACAAGAAGGGTGGCAGACTGGTAGCCTCAGAGCAGGTTGGAAGCGATCAGTCTGTGCAGCAGACAGAGGCAAAGGCAGCATTCCATGCCCATCCATCTCCTTCTGACACAGACTCAGCAGCCAGCAATGGACACAGAGGGATCACTTACAAAAAAGTCAAAGTACATTGCAAACAGGCTTGTGACTGGGGGGAGGGGGGTGGCAGAGGGGGCACCTACTGTGCTATTTCGAGAGGCGGGCCACTGTCTGGGAGTTTTCCTTCACAGAGCTCTCTCCACTCCCATCAACTTGCTCTCTTTCCCAGCTTTGTTCCTCATAAATTACTTTCACTCAGGCAACTTTCACCTCCAGCTTCACTTCCCCTCCCTCCATGTCCTGCAAGTCTCTATTTCATCCCGGTAAAGTCAAACCCACTGATCCTCCTAATACTTCCGGTTACTGGGAAGAATTACCCCCTTACAGATAGCTAAAAAGATCAATGGTGTCCGTGGGAACTTCTCATTGCTCAAGGAACCCCTAGCAACCTCTGGAGGAACCCTAGTTGAGAAACCCTGCCTAAGGGACTCATTCACACTCGTGGGTAGGGCAGTACAAGCAGGCAGTTGAGCTGAAGTTTTACTACCCCTGACCACCCCACCTGAACAAGGAGATGCAGCCACTCAGTGCTGTTAAATGGCAAAAATTATATGGCATGTCACCATGAATGGGGTGCACCACAACTACCCTGCAAGTGCATGCAACGAACATGGTTGAGGTGTTGTAGGTCAGGTTAAAACA